ACTTCTGTGTGAAATTTGAGGTATTTTTCCTGACTTTATATGAAGTTTAAATCAAAAATGGTGTCCATTTTGACAAAAAAGTACGCATTACCCCCGCTAAGCTTTTTATTAGTTTTTTGCATCAATCTCAAGAATGACTAAAATGAAAACCAAAATCCAAGCGAATCCGCGGAAAATTCTCATGGCTGGATGAGCGAGCGCGAGAGCTTACCTGGCTATGTGATCGATGCATCTGCCGCTGTTCTGACACGGTGAAGAGGCACACTCATCAATGTTGATCTCACAGTGCACGCCCGCGAAACCTACACAACCACATGAACATGTTACCGCAACGAGAAAACAACAGGTGTCACAATACGAGAGTCCGTACATATACAAATAAATAAATATATATATATAACCAAGAGCTAATAATATCAAAAGCTAAAAGGTATTCATTAGCTCTTGATAATATATATACAATCACGCAAGAAAACAGGTCCTAATACAAATTGGTTATTAAAATTTCATAATTTGGCCATCATAGTTTCTTACAGTATATTTCAATAAATAGTTTATTCCGGGTTTAGGCTCATTATACCAATGTCCACAGTAGGCCCCTATATGGTGCTCCAATAATTCATTTAATTATGATTTGAAACAATTTCTTCAAAAAAATAAGGCCCCGAAATGCACATGCAGGGAGCACATAATAACAAGAATTTCTTGGGTCATGGGCGGTTCTCGAATCCCAGCCTCAAATTTCGCTTCCACGCAAACAATATACCCACCTCATTGAAAACGCCTTAGAACCCTGTACAGACAAGGATATATCTAGCGAGATACGAATAATTTTAAATTAAAATTAAACATAGACAGAGGCAGACTGATGTTTCGCGTACCGTCGGTGCACGCGCACGTGTAGCCGTTGATCATGTCAGTACAGAGGGCGCTGTTCTGGCACGGCGACGACGCACACTCGTCAATGTCAACACCGCACTGCTTCCCCGCCCATCCCGGCATGCAGACGCACTCAAAGTCGTCGATGCCGTCGTGGCACGTTCCGTTGTTTAAACATGGCTGCCGCGCGCAGTCGTCGTAGTTCTTGTCACAGAGGGAGCCCGTCCAGCCTGCGGGGGGAGAGCATTGTTGCAACGATTGTCATCGTGATAACACGCAAAACTTCTGTAATCCTTGAGAGTTAAACGTCATCACAATAAACGTTGGCCGGACTTAATCCTTAATTGTATATAAAAACCCACTGTAATCCTTGGTTGCTTTATTTCATAATAACTTCATGTATTGCATGATATTCTTTGATAAATTAGGTTGGATATATATATATATATATATATATATATATGTTAATGACTATAGCTTACCTGCCGTAGTTGCAGGGGTTGGACGCACACTCGTCTATGTTGACCTCACAGTTGACCCCGCGGGTTCCCGGCACGCACTCGCACACGTACCCGCCCGCCGTCGCATGAGAGTAAGCGACGAAGCCCGGGCGACCGGTCCCGTACAGAGCGAGATCCGACCGCTGCAAGCACGCGCCGCCGTGCCGGCAGGGGGCGCTAGCGCACTCGTCGATGTCAACCTGCCGGGAGAGGAAGTACGAGCCGTCGTTACGGAACCATCGCCGGCGCCACCTACATGCCGCGCGGTGGTCGAGGAGTGCGGGCGGACATGTTGGCTGGGGAACACTCGCACACGTTGTTAACGAGAACATTAGTAATTAACTACTCATTTTTTCTATTAA